CAGACCCAAGATTGTCTTTATCAGTCATCAAATGCTCCTGGCAGAGGAAAGAGTGGTTAGATCCCTCCGAAGAGGCCAAGGACCATTAGAAATGCAGAGACTCCTGTGTTCAAGGTGCTAGGCAGTCTTGTACCAGTAATCTCACTGGCATTGAGTCCTCTGCTGAACTTTTCTACAGGAAGAAAAGGAAAGTCTCTTTGGCTTACAAGAACAAAATAATTTTTTTTCCTTTGGTCTTCTTGAGACAGGGTCTCCCTGTAGTCCCAGCTGGCCTGGAACTCCTTATGTAGACCAGGCTGGCCTTGAACTCACAGAGATCCACCTCCCTCTGCCTCCCAAGTTCTGGGACTAAAGGCATGTACCACCACACTCGGCAAAAGAATTTTCAGTAGAATACCCACCAGGTAGCTAGGCCTGGAAAAGGGATTCTGTATAGAAATGAAGTAGAAAATCAGTTGCCATCAACCACCTATAAAGCTTGATGGGCAGCTGGTACTTGCATAGGTAAGATGAATGGAAAAGGCAGTTCAGAAGCTGCCTCTGTCCCCAAGGCAGTTTGGTGGACAAGGAGCTGTTTATGAATGGGAGATATGGGGTTGGGGATGTGGCTAAGTTGGTATTGTGCTTGCCTAGCATGCAAGAGGCACTGGGTTTAATCCCCAGAACTGAATAAACCAGGTGTGGTGACACACACCTATAATTCTAGCACTTGACAAGAAGATCACAAGTCCAAGGTCATCCTCAGCTGCACAGTAAGTTCTACAATATCCCAGGCTACACAAGACCCTTTCAAAAAATGAAAGACAGCTAGGTGTGCTAGCACACACCTTGAATCCCAGCACAGAGGAGGCAGCAGTGCTTGGGAGAGGCAGGCCAACCTCTGTGAGTTCAAGGACAGTCTAGTCTACATACATAGTCAGTTCCAGGTCAGCCAAGGATACACAGTGAGACTCTGACTTAAAAAAAAGGGGGGGTGGCAGGGAATGGGAGGACCTGTGAGATGGCTCAGTGGGTAAAGGCACTTGCTGCCAAGCCTGATGACCTGAGTTTGAATACCAGATCCTACATGTTGGAAGGGGAGAACTGATTCCTGAAAGTTGTCTTTGGCCTCCACTATGCAGTGTGGCATGCTTGGGCACACATACACACATGTAGAGAAAATAAGTAATTTTCTTTAAAAAGAAAGAAAAATAATGGAAGACTTACTGTTCTTCCAGCATTTCCTGTGTCTGGAATTGTGCCTGGCACCAAGCTATAACATGGGGTGTGTGTGTGTGTGTGTGTGTGTGTGTGTGTGTGTGTGTATGTATGTATGTGTGTGTCCACCTCCTGCCACACGTGGTGCATACATGCCCTGCAGATAGCTCAGGTTTGTCTTTTCCTCATCACTTCAGGGAACAGGGCAAGGAAGGCAGGGCCAGACCCCCATGGTGGTAGGACAAGAGAGTTTGGGCTAAGGAGAATGCAAGTGTCTGGCTGACTGGAGGCCACTGTCAGGAGACACACATGTGCACACACACTCCCACACAAACCAGCCACGGGATCAAGTAAGAAGCACAATCCGTAGTTCAAGGCAAGTTCCACAAGCCCCTTTTGCCTCCTCACCCATAGAATTGTAGACTCCTGAGCTGTGTTGGAATACATTACTGGTTTAATGAGATTTCAATTAACAAAAACAAATTAAAATCACTTTGGTAATTAAGCTGCTGTGAACCTCGCCAGCAGCTTTCCCTCAGACCTCAGACTTCCATGGGAAGGGAGTGATGGGGAACCCACTGGAGAGTAAGGAGTTGCTTTAGGACCCACCTAAGAGCCAGAGCATCTGGGAGTCAAAAGGATACAGAAGGGCAGCAGTACATAGCCTGCAAAGTGGGCTCGGAACTGAAATTCAAACAGCAGCCTTCCCACTTGGTGGCTGTGTGAGCAAGGGCACATTAATTAACCTGTCTGAACCTCAGACTCTTCATCTGTGAAATGGAGCTAATAATGCCCATGTCTTTTAAGTGCATGAACTTATGGGGAGCTTTTAGAAGGCCTGTGCCACTGCAGGGGTTTCTCACACCAGGAACTTCCCAGCCTCACAGTCTGCAGGGGCCTGAGCCTCAAACCCCTCTTACTCAGTCCCGTCTCTCTGAGTTAGAAAAATGAGGATCCCCTGCCCCAGACTTCCCTTGGAGGTGAGGTTTCTCCAGGTTACAGCCCACCCAAGTTATCATCTATTTGCATCAAAGCTGAAACCTTTCTCAATCATGCCACCTGGAGAATAAATACCCATCTCTGGGTTCATAAGGATCCATATTCTCCCCCTGAAGAAGGCCAGAAAGTTGAAGAGTGCCCACTTCTCCAGCTTCATTCCATAGAAAAGGAAACCCATGTAATGACTTAACTAGTGGCTGAAAGAGGATCCTGGAAGTGGGACAAAGTCCTCACTGCTGACGGAACTGTAAGTCAGTGTAGCCAAGGACAGGTTGGCCACGCTGCAGCAAGGCTTTCCAATAGCCATTCCCTTTCCTCTAACAGTTCTCCCTCTGAGACTGAGTCCCAAGGATACGAACCAAGATGTGTACAAAGTTGTGAGTGCAAGAACGTCCATTCCAGTGTCATTTGTTATAGCAACACACTGAAAGCAATCTAAAAATTCAACAGCCAGGCAAAGACCATGACAGTACATCTATGTTCTGGAATACCTGCAACCATGAGAAAGCATGTACTAGGTGTGTTTGCCAAAGGAAGAGTGCTAGTATGTATACAGACTGCTCCCAAAGTGCTGTTTGAGATTTTGATAACTTCAGAAGAGCAAGTGCTACAACTATTTAAAAATGCCATTTGGAGCCAGCTGTGATGGCTCATGCCTGTAATCCCTGCACTCAGGAGGTAGAAGCAGAAGGATGGCCACAACTTCCAGGCCAGTCTGGTTTACATGGGGATTCCAGTCAGCCAAGAATACACAGGGAGATCCTGTCTCAGAAAAACAACCACCAGAAAAATAAATTTTCTCAGGGCTGGAGAGATGGTTCAGCGGTTAGGAACACTGACTGTTCTTGCAGAGGACCCGGGTTTGAATCCTAGCAACCACATGGCAGCTAACAACTGTCTGTAACTCCAGTTTCAGGGGATCCAATAGCCTCTTCTGTCCTTTGCAGGCATTGCACGACATGGTGCACTTACCTACACGCAGGCAATACACGCATACACATAAAATAAAAATAATAAAAATATTTTTAAAAAAATAAAATTTCTCATTTGCATATTTAAAATAAAATAAAACTGATTTAGAGCTGGGTGTGGTGGTGCAGGCCTTTTATCGAGAGACAGAGACAGAGGCAGATCTCTGTGAGTTCAAGGCCAGCCTGGTCTATATAGCAGGTTCCAGGCCACCTGGGGCTACAGGGAGACCCTGTCTCACAAAGACAAAAAATAAAAATTAAAACAAAACAAAAAAAAGACTCAGGACTAGAAGTTGAAATCAAAGCAGGTAGAGCAGGACCAAGAGAAGAGCCTCAAGGTATTTTCTTGTTCCTATGGTTCCTGTTCTTCTTATGCATAATTCTGGATTTTTTATTATCAGAGGAATAAAAGGGGAGTCTCAGGTACATGTTATCTTTAAAAGCACAGAGGAATCCATATATTCTGACATACACACTATGAGCTCACATAGAGGCAGGCCATAATTTAAGGAGAACTGCAGGGAGGTGAGGTTTAGAAGCTATATCAAAGATGTCTGCTTATACTTCACATTTCAATCTTGTAGACAGGGAGCTACACCTCTTTCAGGGATGAAAAAAGTCAAAATATCAAGCAGATTAACAAATGAGGGCTATGACCACCTACAAACTCAGCAGCTAGCTCAACATCTTCAAATCACTGTGCGAGTCAGTTTCTCATTGCTGTGACAAACACTTGAAAGAAAAAACTTAAGAAAAGAATTTCTCAGCCCACTATTTCAGAGGGTCCAGTCCAGTCTGTGATGGTTAGTTTTTGTCAGCTTGACACAAACCTAGACAAACCTGGGAGGAAGGAATCTCAACTGAGGAATTTCCCTTATCAGATGGACCTGTAGGTTATTTTTTAATTGCTAATTGATGGAGGCCCCAGCCCATTGTTGGCAGTAACATCTCCTGGCAGGTGGGCCTGGGTTGTACAGAAAACTAGTTGAGCAATCCAGGGAAAGCAAGTCAGTAAGCAGCTCTCCTTCATGGTCTCTGTTTCAGTTCCTGCCTCCAGGCCCCTGCCTTGGCTTCCCTTGATGCTAGACTATAACTTGAAAGCTAAAATAAAATCTTGCCTCCTCCAAGTTGTGTTTGGTCAGTAATCACAGCAATAGAAACCAAATTGGAACAGTCCATGGCAGACTGGCTCGACTGCTTGGGCCTAAGGTGAGGCAGAGTGTCACTGTGAGGAGCATGTGCTGGTACAAAGGAGTTCACCACATGGTGAACAGGAAGCCAACAGAAGAGCAGAGAGGGATGTGAAATAAGATACAGTCCCCAAGAACACACCTCCAGTGACCTATTTCCAGCTAGACCCCACCTCTTAAAGGTTTCAGAATCTCAAAGATAATGCCACAAGCTAGAAATTAGGCTTTCGATATGTGAGCCTGGGGCTGGAGAGATGGCTCAGTGGTTAAGAGCACTGGCTGCTCTTGCAGAGGACCCAGGTTTGATTTCCAGCATCCACATGGTGGCTAACAACTTTCAGTAATTCTAGTTCCAGGGGAATCCTACGGCGTTTTCTGACCTCTGAGGGCACTGCATGACATGAGTGCACTTACATACATGCAGGCAACACACACACACACACACACACACACACACACATAAAATAATATGTGAGCCTGTGGGGAACATTTCATATTAGAGCCATAACACTTGCCCAAGTTGACTCAGACTCATCTTGTTCTGACTTTAGCTGTTAGACAAATCACCTCCCTATTCCATGTTGTAATGAACTAAGAAGAAAACACAGGAGACTTCACAATGGTACGAACAGCTGTTTCTCACCTTTCCTTCCAAAGCACAGGGCAGAGGCCCAGTTGTGAGGCAGTGACATCTCCATCCAAGTTTAGCCATTCCAAAGAGCCACTGCTGCCAACAGCCTCTCCAACCTGGAATAAGGAAAAATCAGTGAGCCCCTCAAAAAAACAGAGTATGTTCTTCCTAAAAGAGAAGGAAGAGCAAAGCCATCAACAACCTAGAACTGACAGCCACTTTACCTGCCTTTGCTGCCTCAGGACAGCAGCTTCAGCTGGGTGATTGAATCGGAACTTCTGTGCTTTCCCCAGTGTTATGACAGCTCCTGCAGCACACAGATGAATGAAAATTCAATCCATGATCATCTTGAGTGCATACTGTGAAATAAACTCATGCCTGCAGCAAGGTACTAATTTAGCTAAGTTGACATGTATTAATTATACGTCTCACAATTTTAATCAAATAAACAGCAGAAATTATTATATTCCAAGGGAAAAGAAGCTGAATTCTGGGTAACATAGAGAAATTTCATGGAAATAGAGGACTCTGAGCTCAGTTTCAAAGGACAGGATTTGAACAGATTAATACTACAGATATATTAACAGTAAGTCTTTACTGAGTATAACACATACGGTTAGCCTCACAAAGACAGGCTTTATTCAAGCCTCTGGATGATCCCATTATCATCTCCATTTTACAGCTGAAGAAACTGAGGCTCAGAAAAACAAACACAAGTTTCAGCAAATCTACTCTTGGGTCCTAGAATGAAGAGATCATTCTAGGTGCAGAGGCTTGCTTCATAGAGTTCTCTAGGCCCATGAATTGAAGGCAGACCATCATTCATTCAGATATAAACGGCTGTAGACAGTCCCACCTTGGGTCAGACGGCAGGAAGCAGTGACCTCACGGCCATTGACTGTGCAGCGTGCCCCTTGGGTAGGCCGGAGAATGACTACCCCGCAGGTGCTAGTGATTGTGCAGTGGTCTCTCTCAATCCACTGACCCTGAAGGACTACAGAAGAGGTAGTAGTAAAGTGAGTGTGGGATAATTCAGGGAAATCCCTCTTCCAGTCTTTCTACAAGATCCAACCCAACATCTAGAATATCTCCCCTCCTAATAAGGAACACCCACCACCTGAAAGCACCCAGAGCTCAAAGTCTCCCACTGTGTAAATCTTCTCCTTTGAAGTCCCAGACCCAAAACGTAGCAGCAGAAAGAGAAGCAGACCTTTAACACTTTAAAGATTCCTTTCCTCTTAAAGTACTATAGGGACTCTTTTGACAAAACCTTTCAGGCACAAATAACTATCAGACTCAAATGTGCTGTCACTCACCAATGTCCTGTTCTTGGTCTGAATCAATCCTTCCTATTTTTGTTGTCCCTTCCTATGGGAAAGAAAGAAAGCAATTTAAAGGAACACAGCCCTACCTCAAAGTAGAGTTCACATTTGTATATTTTCAGTGTTCTTTCCTTTCCCATCTCAGCATTTTCTGAACCATTTCTTAACTTCAGTCCAGGCTGTCCTGAACCTCTATCCACTCACGCTACAGCCCAGGAAGACAGGGGCAAATAGTAACAGTAATACACAGCATTTCCTATTTGCAAAACCCAACAAGTGCTAACAAACTCCTTTCTGCCCTGTGACCTGAAGTCAGGGAATAGTTATAGTCACTGGTCTGAAATTCTCTAGTCCAAGGAAGTGGACATGCATTATTGTTCCCCGACCTGCCGACCTCCTGCAAAGCAACTAAGATTACAGCCCAAGTTTGATCCAGGAAATCTCAGAGACTTTCAATGAAAATATATGGATTGTTACCTTGTTAGTCTGCAGGAGGAGGGTAACAGATACCAAATTCTATGAAGGGTAAAGCAAAAATAGGAGAAAAGTAGCTCTAGAATCAAAAGGAACTAGAAGAGAGTACAGAAAAGAGGAGTTAGTGCAAACATCAGTGGATTAGAAGACAAGGGGTCTTCTGGACCTTGGATTATGACACATCTTCAAAAGACCATAAAGCTCTATTTGGAAAAGGCAGCAACATGACAACAAAAATGCTAAAATTAAATTCCCCATTTTTAAGCAGCCTGTATTTGTTGTTTAGAAGTACTGACAGAATCATATTTTTTCTGAAACAAACTGTCCTCAAAACTCCTGAACTCACAGGATCCTCCTGCCTCAGCTTCCTGAGGAAGTGAGATTTTAGGCACATGCTACTTTGTCCAGTTTATTCTGACAGTATTTCTGAGGTTAGGATTTCACACTCCATAACTGAACCTTTGTGCTTCAGGAAGTCCAAAAAGAAGCAAAGAGGCATTACTGTTACCTTAACATGAAGAAATTAAGGCACAGAAATCAGAAGCAAGTTACAGAAAAGCAACAGTGGCAGCTGAAAAACAAATGATTGCTATGATTTCCAGTCTCCTACTCTATTTACACAAAATCCAAACAAATCTCAATTTCTCAGCTGGGTCAGAGTCCTGAGAGCAAACCTGAAGGCTGCTCTATGGCATTAGTCTCAGTTCATAGAAACATGACTGGATGCAAGTTTCAAAACCTCCTTGACTTCTGGGGACAATGACTCAGGGAGAGAAGAGCTGTGCCAACCTCCTCACCTTGAGGTGATAAAGCACAACTCTTGTGCTGAGCATATCATCCTCCAAGGCCATCAGGTGTGGCAGGCTAGAGTCGATGATCACTCCAGCTTTCCTCTTGTTGATGTCCACATGGTAATGCTCCATGAGGACCTGCCAGTCATTCCACCTCTGAGCCCAGTCTTTAGTCAGCTGGTCTATCTGCAGAGATACAGGAGATGATTGTAGACCCTCTGTGTGGGGAGCAGACTAAAGGTCACCCTGACCTGTTACCCCAGTCTTTACTTCCTCATGTTCCCCACTGTTACTATTCAGATCCTCAAAGAGACTCTTGCATCTTCTCCAGCTGTGAGTGGAGTGCTTTGCGTTTTTAAAGTTTTCAATAAGCACATGTCACTTACATAAGTAGAAGCACTCTCAATAAACGTTATGAATAAATTTTTCTTGAGGTGCTAAAGAAATGGTTCAGTGGTTAAAAGCACTGGGCAGAAGACCCAGGTTCAATTCCCAGCACCCACATGGTGGCTAAAAACCATCCATAACTCCAGTTCTGGAGATCTGATGCCCTCTTCTGGCCTCCGTGTGCACTACACACACACAGGGCACTTACATGCAGGCAAAACACTCATATACATAAAATAAATATATTTTATTTTTATTTTATGTGTATGAGTATATTGTCTGCATGTATGCGAGTGCACCCGTGTCATGCAATGCCACAGAGGTCAGAAGAGGGCTTCGGATTCCCCTGGTACTGGAGTTAAGGATGGTTCACAGCTGCCATGTGGGTGCTGGGAATCGAACCCGGGTCCTCTTCAAGAGCAGTCAGTGCTCTTAACCACTGAGTCATCTCTCCAGCCCCAAAATAAATATTTTTAAATGATGGTTTTTTCTTCAATGGACATACATCATTCTTCTTAGAAAAAAATTAATGTGTTAGGAGTTTGAATATGAATTGCCTCCTATAGGCTCATGTGTAAAAGCTTGGTCCCTAGCTGGTGGCACTGTTTGGGGAGGTGTGATATATCTGGAAGGAGATCACTAGGAGCACGCCCTGGAAAGATATACCATGTCCTGGCTCCTAGTCTCTTTCTCTTTCCACTTACCAGCCACTATGTATCACTATGCTCTCCCCACAATGATGTTCTGCCTTAGCACAGGCCCACAGCATTGGGGACAGCAAGCATGGTCATAGAAACCTCTGGAACTGTGAAGCAAAGTAATCATGTGGTTTGTGTGTGTGTGTGTGTGTGTGTGTGTGTGTGTGTGTGTGTGTGTAGAAGTTAGAGGAAGATATCCAGTATCCTGTTCTACCTGGCTTTTTTTATGTGTATGCGTGTATTGCCTGCATGTAGGTGAAGTGCACCCATGTCGTGCAATGCCTGCAGAGGACAGAAAAGGCTGTCGGATCCCCTGGAACTGGAGTTACGGACAGTTGTTAGCTGCCATGTGGGTGCTGGGATTCGAACCTGAGTATTCTGCAAGAACAACCAGTATTCTTAACCGCTGAGCCATCTCTCCAGCCCGCTACCTGGGTTCTGGGGATTTGAACTCAGGTCCTTATTCTTATACAGTAAAACCTCTTACCCACTAGGCCAACTTCTTAGCACTCAAATAAACTTTCTTAATTTACACTTTCTTAGGTATCTGTCACAGCCACAAAATTATTTTTTAAATTAATTGATGTTACTTAGACATCTATGCTTACAGTTTCCCTTTTCTGTCTTATTTTTATGTGTTCCATATTTAGAATTCCTCTTATGATCTAACACTTCTTCTTAAACATGTAGTACCTTGAATTATATAAGTCTGCACCTGGCTCAAATATGCACAAAGCACTGAAGAAATCACTCAGGTTATATGAAACTTGTCTGGTTGACCAGGTAATAATAGGAACAATGATGATGATAAAATACTGAATGACTGATACTAAGTGTGAGGAACACAGGGTTTTATTTATTTTTCTTAAAATTTAAATATTTAGGGGCTGGAGAGATGGCTCAGTGGTTAAGAGCACTGACTGCTCTTACAGAGGACCCGGGTTTGATTCCCAGCATCCACATGGTGGCTACGAACCGTCCTTAACTCTAGTTCCAGGGGAATCCAAAACCCTCTTCTGACCTCCATGACATTGCACGACATGGGTGCATTCACATACATGCAGGCACCATTGATATGTACAAATGCCTATCTATGAGGAACTGTGAGGTGTTTCATAACACTCAAATCAGGGTAAGCATCTCTCCTCAACAGTCACATCTTTTGGTAGTAAAAGCATTCATAGCCCTTTGCTCTGCTGTGACAAATATCCTGCATATAACTGTTACTTCAGTTGTCCTACTGAGCCACAGCTCACAAGAGGTTCCTTGCTCCTTTTTTTCTTTTTCCACACATGTATATAAAGTATTTTGCTCATACTTACTCTCTTAGCCTCTCCTATCCCCCTCCAACTTCTGCAGATCCCCTCAGAGTTTTAAAAGTTATTAACACTGGGCATGATGGCACACGCCTTTAATCCCAGTACTTGAGAGGCAGAGGCAAGTTGTAACTCTGTGAATTCTAGGCCAACTTGCTATGACACTGTCTCCAAAAAAACAAACAAAAAAAGTAAATATACTAAACTTTAGAGACCTTAGGCTAGGACCAGCGGAGGGACAAGAATGAACTGTGTAGATGTAAGGTCCTTTGCTTCTTTTTGGCAGAAACTGATAAGACAGGACCCTTAACCTGGGAATGGAAGAGCCTAGAACACTCAGAAAATGGATTTCAGAAGCTAATTCTCTCATAAAGGAAATACTTAAGAAAAACTCAACAAATTTAGGTACAGGTATTTAAAGTACTTTAGAAATATTATTTAAATGTTATTAATTATTGAATTGGATTGGGGGGGTCTTTTTTTGAGTCAGGGTCTCCCTGTATCTCCAGCTGGCCTGGAACTCACTATGTAGACCAGGCTGACCTCGAACTCACAGAGATCCACCTGCCTCTGCCTTCCGAGTGCCAGGATTAAAGGCAGTGCCACCACACCCAACTTTTAAGTTGGAATTTTTAAAGCCAATGGAACTATATGTTCCTGTAGGTACCTGTAAAGGGCTGGCTTGGACTGGGACCTCTGGCATTAGTATAGGGCTAGGTATTCTGCTGACCAAGGATTTGGTGTTCAATCAATCAATATATGCCAGTTAACTGATTTACTGACTAGAAAATAATGATTTTTCTAGGCTACTTACACTATCCAAAGGGAATTATCGTGAACCTGAGAAAATAAAACTGCCTTACAGTACAGCCAGCCTGGCATGCTCCCAGGAAACCCTGCTGAGCATACCTCCTCTCTGGCCTGCCTTCATCTCCCACCCCTTTACTATCGAAGGTCATATGGCAGCAGAGAGCACATTCAAGTCTAGCTCATCTAGCCTAGACAATGTAAAAAAGCTAATAAGCTTGGAATGATTTTCACCCCTTTACTCCATCCTTTATTATAAATATAAAGAGCGATGTTATCTTCTGAGCCAGACATATGGCTGAGCAAGAAAATGTGACAAACTTCTGAATGTGTGATGTAGTCGTGAAGTTTAGTTAGGGGAGCAAAATGTTCCTGGGGCCAGGATATTTTAATAACATATAAAAATGATACATCAGAATGTGAGGATGTGGGAGATTTGGTTGAAGGATCTAAATCTGTGACAAGAAAAAAATAGGAAGGAAGGAAGCAAGGAAGGAAGGAAGGAAGGAAGGAAGGAAGGAAGGAAGGAAGGAAGGAGGAAGGAAAGGCTAGGATGAGCAAGATGATTCAGCAGGTAAAGGCACTTGTCAAGCCTGATAACTTGAGTTCAAACCCCAGGACCCACATGTGGAAGACAAGAACTGACTCCTACAAGTGCTCT